AACACTTGGAACGTGTCAACACTTTATTTATTTATTCGGAAATTTTGTCAAAAATTAAGTACCTATTTTTTTTACATAATTCGAATGAGAATCATGTACCGAGTATTCTCCTTAAATATTGATAGTAATTCACCAGTCACCCTGTATATACATTTTTTGTAGTATTTCTAAAGCTTTACAGTTAATCCTATTTGAAATATTGTTAGATTTGTCATTTCAAGGTAAACGAAGCATCTTGATTTAAAATTATGTTGCACTAATGTATAAAGATTAAAATATGTGTTTTTTTTATAGTTTCGTAATAAAACCTATTTGAAGATGTCCTTGTGCGTAATACATATATATTAAAATTAATTAAGCATTAATATATTATATGATGAATTTAAATGCAGTTTATGAAATCTATTTTAGCCTTAAAGCAGAATATAAAGATACGTAATCATACATACATACATAACCTTGATTTTTGATGTTATTTTTCCGAGTTAGGTATATGTACTTTCTAAGAGTATTTAGACATCACTGATTAATGCATTCCCAAAGAGAGTTGATGTCAGGCAGGCGATGTCGTAAAAACAATTAGCCAAAACTATTCACAACATTTACGGCAGACCCTGGCTAAAGCTGGGAAATTGCCAGATAGAAGAACAAGAAGACATACATACATAACCTTTTTTATTTTCAAAAAAGGTTTTATTCGACAAACAGTTTACAAACATGTATCATGTATAAATGAAATAACAACACGCAGATATATTATTCGTTATATATATATATATATATATATATATATATATATATATATATATATATATATATAGTAGTTTACATAGTTGTATGTAAACAACAATACGTAGAATTATTATATGAGGCGCAGCAAATCACAACCGGTCCACGGCATGCGGCACCTTCACTTTTAACAACACAACTACACACATACAACAAAAGCATTCAAAGACTGCATATAATATATATATATATATACACAGGGTGACTGGTGAATTACTATCGATACTTGAGGACGTGATATTTGACGATCATATATGACAAAATAAAAATTAATATAACATAAATATTAATAAACTTCTAAGTAAAGCTAACCAAAAGTTATGTAATTAATTACGCATCGTGTGAACACCCTACAGATTAGGTATACACACACACACACACACACATACACGCGCGTGCGGCGGCGTGGTGTTGTATCAGCACGCCGCCGCACGCGTCCACACTTGGAACACTTGGAACGTGTCCACACTTTATTTATTTATACGGAAATTTGGTCAAAAATTAAGTACCTATTTTTTTTATTTAATTCGAATGAGAATCATGTACCGAGTATTCTCCTTAAATATTGATAGTAATTCACCAGTCACCCTGTATATATGTATATATGTCTATCATTATATTTATTATATATAATTGTTAACTTCAATTAAAACTTATCTTATATTGAGACTCTTAAAAATTTTCTATTTAAATTTCTATTTGCTTTATTGACCATACATTTGAAAAAAGGCTTGTCATTACAGTTAAACTATACTGTATGCAATATATTTATAATATATATATATATATATATATATATATATATATATATATATATATATATATATATATATATATATATATATATATAGAGAGCGTCACGATACAACTGCTTAATAAATTTCAATACATTTTCTGAGCTTTTAATCTAAGGACATGTTCAAAGAACATTTATAAGAAACATCATTGCGAAATCTTCATTTATTACAGTTATTAAAGTTAAAAAACAAATGGTCAATAAATAGTAATAAGTAATATGAATATTAATTACCATTAATTAAGACAGACCCTGGCTAAAGCTGGGAGGTTTACAGAAAGAAGAATGTGTACCTTGCTTTAGCTAATTGGTATGAAACATAAAGATAACACTACTTTTATTATGATAGAGAAATCCATATAAATATATGCTTACTACAAGTTGACATACGAAGACTTTCACGTTTTTGATAAGAAAACTGTTAACGCTGCGTATACAGTGTGATAAAGGTGGTGCTTCACTTAGCGTGTATTTGTGTTCGGCCAAATAAGACCATGTGTGGATAATTTATTCGTATTTATTTGACATATTTGCACAAATAATACACAAATAAACGAAAACGCGTAAAGACTTATTGGCATGGCAAGTGTGGACGTAATGTTTGTGCTATTTGTACAAATATTGGGACAAATGCGGTGAATACGCTACGTATACGCTACAATGAGTTCATAACTCAAGAATTTGTGTTATGTATTATATAAATACTATATACAGAATGAACGAACAACTGCTAACTGCAATTAATGATTGAGCAATAACGATACTAAATGCAATTTAGTTGCAACTAAAAATTGTGGAAATATAATAAAGTGAATGTAAAAATACTTATAAGTAATTATAATAATTATAGTTTTTATAATTCGTAAGCCATTCAAACGTCTGTACATAGCTGATAGCTTTACTTGTGTAATTCTTTGTGTGACTTTTACTACAAACTTTTTTAAGACGAAAACTTACAAAGTATTTTCAATTGCAAACTTTAATATATGATTTATAGAGTTTATTATTTAATTGTGACAACGTTTTAAGAGAGACGAGATGAAACCTCTTAGCATTCAATGTATTCATATGCCTGTGTCGGGTCCATCGTTGTAGTGAGAGGAGCTTCAACAGTGACTGGGACTTGCGACCCAGGAGTAGGTTTAAGGGACCCTATCTAACGTTAAACGCTCACCTCCACTGTCCAAGCTGCTCTCTCTACCTATACCTTGTACATTCGTTTATTTTACTGTAATAAAATCGTGGATAAATCTGTTTGTGTATGTTAAGGTAATAAGGTAAAGGATGGGTTATATTTGTGACGACACCCACACAGACAACGCTGCGGGTGTAAGCTAGTATATGAGTACATAGTTTATTATGTGTGACTCGTATCAAAACAGGACGCCAGATAAACGACTGTGACATATGAATACTTTATGAGCTGATACTATCTTGTTCTTCGAAAACTAATAATAATAATAGTTTTTATAATAATACTAATTAATTTCATATTAAATTGGTTTTTAAATGAACATTGATCTCCTATTCGATGTCAGACTAGAAAATATTAGGCTTAACACACTCGATGAGGTTAAAATTTTAAGTTACGTAGAGACCAGTCAACTGACTGATCAGCACTGGTCATAAATATATGCTTATCACCTCATGTCAAAAAGATTACGTACGAAGTTAGTTCGCGTTAATATTACTGTTTTAGAAAGAAAATTAACCAGTTCATTTTGACTGCATAAAGGATTGGTTTAAGGAAAATTGATTAAGAATTGTATGTAGAAGATATTCATTCATTTTGGGTTGAATACTAGTTGTGTTCATAAAGTAATAATAAATAAAAAACCCATCTACATATTTTACAGTGACAGTTTCTTCATACATGATCAACTTAATTATTGAATTGGAAACGGGAAACCTTTAGAAAGTAGTGTGACAAAGTAATGCTAGGTATTTTGTTTATTAAAAGTTTTTTACTAGTTCTAGTTATAACCGTGTAAGTACATAGTTCAATAGATATATATTATAAAGAAACTAAGTCAGTGGTGGCCTAGTGGTTAAAAGGCTCGCCTCTCATGCATGAGGGCGCGGGTTCGATCCTAGCAAGTACCAATGTGATTTTTCCGAGTCATATGTACTTTATAAGAGTATTTAGACATCACTGATTAATGCATTCCCAAAGAGGGTTGATGTCAGGCAGGCGGCCGGTCATAAAAACAATTAGCCAAAACTCTTCATAACATTTCAGGCAGACCCTGGCTAAAGCTGGGAAATTGCCAGGTATAAGAAGATATTATAAAGAAACTATACTTACTTTTCTTCACATGTTTAGCGGTCAAATTCCAGGTTAAGTTCGTCATAAAAAGTTCAAATTTCATATTAGTAACTATGACGTGTGCTTTCATAAGAGTATTATATACACAATGGAGACATTGTATTATACGTTCATGAATAATTTATTGATATACGAGAATGTATACTATTGTTGGGCCTTCTGGGAACTCGACTGATTTATAAACCTTAAGTCATAAGCCATAAGGTCTGTTATCCAACGGCTAAATTAACTCATGAATCAGGACTATTACATTCGTTATGCCAACTTCAATGTAAGTTATAAAACCATTATTAATATACATCAATATATAACGAGTAATATTTAAAAATCAATTTAAAAAATGTACAAGAAAACCTTAACAAATAAACTACTAATTTAACCGACATTGCGGAGTATTGATGCCATTTAATGATTCAAAAATGTTGAAATTATATCATTGTTCAAACAAAATTATCAGTAAGAAACGATTTAACAACAGGAATTCTATTTGTCAACAGCTTAAAGAACAATTACTTTGTAATAAGCATTAGTTTTCAATATTCATACTCTTATTATCAAAAAAAATGAGTGTCAGTGTCAAATAAAATGGAAATGTCACTGTCAAGATGACATTTCAACTGCCACCAATACAGATTATAAATGATTATGTACATACCGTGACTAGAGCAAGTAAACAAAAATTAATCACACCGAGTAAGGTCAATCCGCATTCATACACAAGGTGATACATTAAACGCATTGAACAAGGAAGAACCTATTAGTGACTTAGACGGCAATTACTAATACTAAGATATGTTAATTTTAAAGTTCCTGACATATTTAAAAAAAATCACTTCCGTAGAAATTTTGACGTTAGTTGCCTAAATAGAAACGTCGAATTCTGTGTATGAATTACTTTAATATTAGAAATATTTCATGTTAAATATTCGGTTTGAATTAACATGGTGATAGGAACGCTACTTCCATTTTATCACTCCTTATCACATAAGATGTCTGTCAAGGTTAAAAGATATAGTTCTCATCTTAATATTGTTCAAAAAGAGATTAAAAAAGGTTTTATATGTGTATAATTATTGTCACAGAGGCACAATGCTGCAACAGATCTTGCGAGAAATGTGGGTCGACCCCGAAATACTTGCTGAGCTCGACGAGACGCAGAAACAGACGCTCTTCTGTAAAATGAGAGAGGAACAGGTATTTAGAACCAGCTATTACAAATAAGACTCATATCCTTTTGAATTTCACGCTATTTCGATACAGTATTGTTTTATAGCAACCATTTTATTAGGATACCACTCAAGGCTATGTTAGAAGTATTGACCATTCACTCGTGTTTCGGTCTGCACGTTCTCAAGCGACTTGTCGATTTGATAACATCGAGTCGACATCTCGACGGAATCTGACGATATAAATGACTGTTCGTCATATATATATATTTTTTTTTTTAATTCTACCAAACCAGCGAACGTTACGGCCAGTTGTAATATACTGCCAATGTTATTATTAAATAAAACCTCTTTTTAAATTCCTATTTTCATTCCAATAGCATTCCTTTAATCAAAAGCATAATGTATGCATTATTCAAGTATCTCAGAAATTATTAACGATTGTATTGTAAAGGTGTGTTTACAAATATATCAAAGCATAGCCTTCTGCGTTACTCTTACAAGTATTGTTCGTAAACAAAGGCGCGTTAGGATGACTTAACTTATGACGCATGTGCAGTTAATGATTACGACGAAACGACAATTAGTTAATTTTAATTACTCACTAAAAGTTATGTGGACAGTTAGTGTGTCCACGCCTTAACTCAAACGGTACTTCAAGGCAGATCGTGCATAACCTTGAAACTCTAAATGTCATAGCCACATTGTTAGATCACAACTTAATAAGTATAACTATAATTGTATAATATAGAAATATTAAAGCTAAGGTATATTATGTTCCTTAATTTTTCTATTCATCATCATCGGCCTATCAGAGCCGTGGCTAAGCAAAAGCCTTTTCTAATATGGAGAAGTTTGAGTATTAAACACTACACTTGACCTGCGATTCTTTCTATTATTTCCTTATAATATCTGTGTTCATATGAGGGTAGTTGATAATAACTAAATCAATTCGTTATTGAAGGTGCGTCGATGGCAGGAGTGGGATAAAAAGGTCGGAAAACATGAGAATGAAAGACGAAACCAACAGAATGGGAAGAAACAGGTGCAGTTCCTTAAGGGAGAGGACGGGGAGCCCTGGGTAAATATGATGTATAGACAAAGGAGAACTTGTATTCAATGTATAGCTGAAAACATTGATCGTTGATTGATGTTGACTTCCAAGATGTCGTTTGGTTATACATTATAGTTTTAGTGTGATTTTAAACTGATTTTACGATTTAGAATTTCCAGACCTATGGAATTTATGACGTTATATATTCAATAGTTGATTTTATCGATTGTACTATTAACAGAACCACTATTAAAGTATATTCGGGTTAACTGATATATGTGAATAATGTTATTTTTTTATTATATTAAAAGTCAATATACATAATTAATATCTTCTCTATGTGATCCGCATTGCGTATTTATTTTTATTTATTTAAATTATATATCTTGTGATTATCTAAGGTGTGGGTGATGGGTGAGCATCCGGATGATAAATCTATCGAGACCATTCTTTGTGAGGAGACACGCGCTCGGGCTGTCGCTCAAGCGAGGGTCGAAGCTCATCAACTGAGGAAATCTGTTGAAAAGGAACTAACACATCTCATAGATTACAAGCCTCTTGATAGCTTGGAGCAGGTAATAACGGGGATTCCCCTAAACATTCCTTATTTATATACTCTTTATTGCACGCCAATGTAGACAAAAAGAATAGGAGTAAAGAAAAGAAAAATGTACAATAGGCGGCCTTATCGCTAAAACAGCGATCTCTTCCTTACATATATATAAGCTCATATAATCATCTTGATATTTTTCTCCCGTATCTAGTTGCCTATATCAAAAGGGTTCTAGTAGAGATCTCTTTTAAGAGTTAATTATACTCTGCGTCACATTTGTTTTATAATAATGTAATTACTGCTTTTGGTACATAAATTAACTTGTCCCTGAATAACAATATACTTTGTCTGTTGTTTAGACATAAAAAAAGATCGATACAGAAAATTTAGTAGAGTATTTTAAGTCCTAATAGAAAAATAGACTATTTGAAAATAATGGACTGTCCTTATATTAAAGTCAGTGCATTTGACAGCTTCTATTTGCTAGAGAAACAACTGATAATGTCAATATCAATTAGAGTTATGTAACGAAAGTAATTGATAAAATGTAAAAAAAATATATAAGTGATTTCAAATAATGCTATTTATGAATTCAAACAGATTTTTTTTGTTTAAATCTGACCAAAAAAATCCTATATTTTACAGAAATTTGACATATCTCCAAAGAACGTGGATTCGTTGGAAGATACTCTGGATCTATATTGTTCAGTGGACGAGCTGAGGCAGAGGATCGAGGAGTTGGAGCCGGAGGTGAAGAAGAGTGGCGAGGCTGACAAGGATTACTGCGAGGAACATACGAAAATGAACCTTAAGAACAACACGCTACAGTTCAATTTCATTGAAGGGAAGAAAGATGTTATACAAGTGAGAATTTTGTTTTCTGCTAGTCCAAAAAAATCGGGGAAAATGGAACATGACATATGTCATTCCTTATCAGCGCATTTGATAAGATTGTATGTGTGTTTGTTTTGTAATTATCCTGAAAATTTTTATCTGAACCTTGTTTGATGTTCTAATTGACTATCAGAATAACACATCATTGTATGACGAGTGTGATTTAATATTTATTATTAATTTTAAGACTGGTCTATTCGAAATCACCAAAGATTCTTGCATCAATTTAAAGGTACACATATGTATATTTGTATATGTAGCGAAGTTAAAAAAAATAGACTTACATGTAGGACCAGGGATCCTACATATGTGTATTGTTTTTGTTTTAGGACTCCGGTCGTGTCGGTGACGGCGTGTCGCTCCGCGTGGCGGCCTGGGAGAGGCGGGTGGCGGCGGCGCGGGCCGGGGACATCCTGCGGGGGCTTCGGGCCCGGCGAGCCCGCACGCTCCGGGACGCGAGGGAGCAGGCGCAGGGCGGGGACGCGCTGTGGAGGGAACAGGGTGAGATACACTTATACTAGATAAAATATTCTCTTCTCTATATTCTCCTTCTTCTACCTGGTAATTTCCCGGCTATAGCCAGGGTCTGCCTTACATGTTGTGAATAGTTTTGGCTGATTGTTTTTACGACCGGCCGCCTGCCTGACATCAACCCTGTTTTGGGAAAAATGTAGCTATATTATTATATATAATAGCTAGCTTTCCGCCCGCAGCTTCGCCCGCGTGAGTTCGGTTATATCGCGTTTCCAAGAGAACCTTTCAAACGTCTAGGATAAAAACTATCCAATGTTCTTTCCCAAGGTCAACTCTATCTCTGTACCGAATTTCATTAAAATCTGTTCCGTGGTTTAGGCGTGAAAGCGTAACAGACAGACAGAGTTACTTTCGCATTTATAATATTAGTAGGGATCTTTATAATATGATTTGAAAGAGTAAGTTTGAAGAGTAATTATTATTTATAATGATTTAAATTGTGATCTATTTCACAGTAATTCTAAGCTTAATTATAAATTCTAACGTTATTTATATTCTAATATTTATTGGGAACTCTTATGATAGTCAACAAACGCCATCTGTATATTCGTTATAACAGTGTAAATTAATGTTAATAATATTTCTGTTTTATTATTTAATGTAAACTCTTGAGAGGGGAACTAGCGCCCTTTATAAAATACTAGCTGACCCGCCGAACTTCTTACCGCCCTGTAATCAAAAAATATCTGTTCCCTTTTTATCTGAATGAAGTTAAGTGCTTTATAAAGTACTAGCTGCGCTCCGCGGTGTTACCCGCGGATTTCCAGGATTTTCGAGATGTAAAGTAGCCTATGTGTTATTCCTAGACGTCAGCTTCCTGTATACAAAATTTTATCAAAATCGGTTCAGCCGTTTGAGCGTGAAGAAGTAACATACATACACACACACTCATAAACTTTCGCAATTATAATATTAGTAGAATTATAAATTATTTCTAACAATATATACCTATAGTGGTGGCCTAGTGGATAAAGGCTCAATCTCTCGTTGCCGAGGGCGCGGGTTCAAACCTGTCAAGTACCAATGTGATTTTTCGGAGTCATATGTACTTTCTGAGATTATTTAGACACCACTGACATACGGTGAAGGAAAACATCGTGAGGAAACCTGGACTTATAGTTTCACAATTATAAGTTTGAAATCACCAACCCGTCTTGACAAGCGTGGTGATTAATGCTCAAACCCTCTCCATGTGAGAAAGAGGCCTTTGCTCAGCAGTGGGCGCTGATAGGCTGATGACGATGACGATACCTATAGGCCTATTCCTTTGGATGTAAAAAAATGGCTATCAGTATTGTTTCCTTTAAACCTCAATATTGTATTAATATATGTATATGTTGTATAATACTAAAGTAAATGTTTTTTTTTATCAGAGCGTAAAGCTAAAGAGGCGGAGGCTGCTATGCGGGAGATTGCTCGAGCGGCGCGGGAGGCACACCGGATGACGTCTCACCTCGCGCCCGCGTGCGCTTTGCCTGGTTAGTGACATACAAACACACACACATACATACAAACACACATACACACACACATACATACATACATACATACATACATACACACATACATACACACACACATACACACACACACACATACATACATACAAGATAGAGAGGGAGATACATGACGTATGAAACTCACAAAAACTGAATTTGATATGTCTGATAAAATGTTTTAGACGCCATGTGTGATAATTTATTAGTGCTTAAATGAAATTAGATAGATAGGCTGTGGATAACAAATGACCGACCGACAGACACTCACATCTCGTCTTAATAATCACGGTTGCTGTAAAATAACCGAAACGTCGGAAGTGTGTAGTTCTTTACAAAAATAGAGCACGCGTAGTATATGCGAAAAATATTAGTTTCATTTCAATGAATAAAACTCGCTAAAATCTTAGACCTCATTAATTTATTAGTGGCTACTTAACTAGTCTTATTATTCTTAATAATCAAAAATATCTTCTGCAAAACAATCCATTAAAGCCACCGTTATTGAGAGCTATATATCTAGTCTTTGTATAATTAATTATCAAAAATATCTTCCACAAAATAAATAATATAATATAAGCCATAATTTTCATACATATAATCTAATTCCAGCGAGCAAACCACCCAATAGAGAAGCTGTTCTAGACTGGTTCAAGACTAAAGAATTGCCGCGAGGTGTCGGCCTGGACGAGAACCAGAAACCTGTCGACTGGTTCCATGGTTAGCATCTATACTTATATATATCTATACTTATATACTATAGCATACATACTTCTTCTACCTGGCAATCTCCCAGCTATAGCCAGGGTCTGCCTTACATGTTGTGAATAGTTTTGGCTAATTGTTTTTACGACCGGCCGCCTGCCTGACACCAACCCTCTTTGGGAATGCATTATTCAGTGATGTCTAAATACTCTTAGAAAGTACATGTGACTCGGAAAAATCACATTGGTACTTGCCAGGATCGAACCCGCGATCTCGTGTATGAGAGGCGGGCCTTTTAACCAATAGGCCACCACTGACTATTTATATAGACTAATAAAGCATCAAAATGGCTGACATATTAATATTGACTCAACTCATTATATCAAATACTTTGAAATACTTTTTGATAATTGCTCTATTTTCCTGATAACTTTTAAATATCTACATATACTTCTGTAAAGAGTAGTGGTGGCCTAGTGGTTAGAGGGTCCGTCTCTTATGCACGAGGGCGCGGGTTCGATCCTGGTAAGTACCATGGTGATTTTTCCGAATCATATGTACTTTCTAAGAGTATTTAGACATCACTGATTAATGCATTCCCAAAGAGGGTTGATGTCAGGCAGGCGGCCGTAAAAACAATTAACCAAAACTATTCACAACAGTAAGGCCCTGGCTAAAGCCGTTCACCGCTACTGTAGGATAGTTCGTACTATACTTATCCTCTTATCTCCTTGCCAGGCCTGATCAGCCGTTGCCAGGCGGAGGATCTCCTGGTTCGTTCGTCGTCTGGCAGTTTCTTAGTGCGCGTGTCGGAGCGCGTGTGGGGCTACGCGATCTCGTACCGCGGAGAGCGGACCAAACACTACCTCGTGGACGCTACACACGGGTACAGCCTGCTGGGGGCCGGGCAGCGGAGACATGACACGCTTGGTGAGTGACATACATACATACATATATACATAGTAGGTGGTAGAGCCTAGCTGCGGTAAGTTACTACAGCTCGAACATGGGCTGGCTCGACCGGGGAAGTTCCACCCTCTCACAGAAAATCGACGTGAAGTAGTCTTTAATGGCTGCGTTTCGTTCGATGAGTGAGAGAGACGGTTGCTCTTTCCCTATTCCTACCCTTTCCTACCACTTCCTTATTCCCACCCCTCCCTATTCCTAAAAAAACAAGTTTGGCAGAAATGCGCAACATGTCCATGGGCGACGGTACTACCTTACATCAAGTAGGCCTTCTGCTCGTTTGCCACCTTTGACATAAAAAAACATACATACAGGCTGAGGACGCTACTTAAATACATGATATTATATATCAAAAGTAATCAAATAACTCCCTATTGAATTAAGTATTCTCTTGTGAAAGTCCTGTCAAAATTAATCAAAGATTGTCCGTAACAAAAATACACAAGGAGAGATAATAAATAAAGGGAGTATCCGCATCTTATTAAAATAAATAGTATACTAAATCACAATAACCAACTTACCCTATATGAGATTAAGTATTTTGCATTTGGGTCCGTAACAAACTGACGACAAACAATTAAAAAAAGTATATGTAGCTTATTGATCCATATGCAATAAGCATTTTAATATTACAGACACGATAATTATATTTCTTTGTATAAATATATTTGAATGTGTTTTCTGTTCAAACTTCTTTAATGTGAAGTATCATAAATAGTTACTTATCAAAGGCTGTATAACACTAAACGCGTGTAGAAGCCTCGAACTCATTTAATTTCTTTAATCAAAAGTTGTAATAATTTCACTCTAGTAGTAGGTACATGTACTCGCTACATTTATAAGGCTCGTGATTCCTGTTCAATAAGTTTAACGTTCCAAATATTTCATAACTAATCAATTCCCACTCATAATTTAAATCATCGCGAAATTAATCAACTTATTATTAATATAATTTAAGTCTAATACAATTTTTTTCTTATGTTCCAGCCGATCTTATAAATTACCACAAGAAAGTTCCCATCACGGAAAGCGGCGGCGAATTGCTCACGACGCCGTGCGCGCCATCTAGCGACAGAGACGCGCACTTAATATAACGAAACTTAGGAATACAGACTACATGAAAACATTCATAAATATATTAAGAATTATCATATTATCAAAAGTTACTCAACTTTTTGTTATATACAGTCAAATTTAGTTTAGAGGTCATACATTTAAGATTTGACTAATCAGTCTTTTGACCAATTATATCATATTCTTAGTCTAAGTGCTTGTATAATCTATAATATAACTTGTCAAGATGGTATCTTCCTTGATAAATGGTGCTATTTAGAAATTTAAAAACTATAAAATGATTAGATCTCGATATTTTTATATTAATTCCTATAAAATTACAGTATTATTTAAATAAAATTATCTATATAATGTAATTCGAAGCCAAAACTCGTTTCCACACAGGTCGGTCTGTTTCAGCGGGAACGCCATCTTTATCGTATCTTTTTTAGTCATTAACTGCCAACTAGATTTATTTTCTATCTTTGACTAGTTTAAAAATAAATTTATCAATATATTCGTTATTTTATTCCACAATACCTGTTTTCTTTGAATGAAAGAATTCATTTTAATAAAATGTTTATTACATCGGAATAATATTTTATATACAAACTACTTTCCATACAAAACTCGTTCAGGCATAAGTCCATCTAAATTCGTTTAATTTTGTATAACTAATGTAATTTATATACATCAAGCCAGACTACATAAATATAGAAAATTATTATCTATTACACTATTGTCTACAGTTGTCTATGGTTAGATTGTATAAATTTATTATACAGATACAAAATTTTTGAGTACAAAAGAGTATTCCAAACCAGCAATACCACTATTATCTGCCAAGTTTTATTAATCTTTTTGTACAAAATATTTATATTATGGTTCTAGAAGAAAAATTTATAATAAATTTACTCAGCATACAAATATCTTACTATTTTTCTTCGGATTACAATCTCATTGCATTTAAAATAAGATTCATTTCTGGTACAAACTTTTTGAATTTAAACAATTAATGCTTCAAATTTTTACCAATCACATTATTAAATATTACATGTCAGACCTCGACGTGTCGTATGTGAGATATATTTATAAATATTTTATAATAAATATGACGAGTTAACAAAAATTTCATCGGTTGGCTCTCCACAAGCCTCGTCCATATAGTCACATGTACGGCAGGTTCGTCGGCGTCCTTGTGTGAGGCGTCATCTGTGGAACGGAAATGAAATCAAACGTCAGCCATCAAACATTACAAAACGTCGGGGATAGTGCAAACCCGCGTAACTAGCAATAGATAATTCCGCGTATCTGCTTTTGAAGCAAATACAGAAGAATTTAATGACATTTAAAGTAAATACTTTCTCAATTAGTAATTGTTTCATGTTTAGTTTATTACTCATCGTGAAAAAATTTGCTGAAAAGTCGTTAATTTATATAATATTTCAGCTTTAACTTTCTTCTGATAATCTGCTTCCAATGTAGATACGAGGAAATGTCACATTGACATTTCAGTTGCATATTCATGTTTCTCTTATACATAAAGTGGTTTATATCAAAATATTAATTTACAACGAAAAAAAGGTTTAATATATCATATTCTAGATATTTCGATAATTTATAAGAACTAAATCTGTAATTGACATCATTTTTTTGTATCATCGGCGGAATATATCATGTTACACAGATACAAAAATGTTGATAATTTATTTTATACTTACATTGCTGCTATCACAATGGTCGTGTGTCTTGTGTGTTTGTGGTTTTTTCGCCTTCTTCACCGGACTATTGCTCGCTGTGAAGTTAAAAAGAAAAAAATGCACATTTTAAACAATTTATATCTAAAATGAACTTGTAATTTTTTCTAAATAATAAGTCCATATAGATTTCAAGTTTTCTTGATACAAAAATAATGATTTTGAATATGATGCCATAGTCATACAAGTGTTATAAATATTTTCACCTCCCGGTACGTAGGGCAACGAAAACTCCGGCGTCATCTTCTTGGCGACTTTCTTTCCTCGCAGCAATTCTTCATCCATCACCAGTTTACTGTTCACTCTGAAGTAGAAATGTAAACAAAATAAGTGAAATTAAATAAATATCTCTTGTATAACTATATATTTTGATATATGTCTGTGATCATTAAAATTAAAACAATATATATTATTCAAATACACTGCAGTTATGTTTTACATTTTCACTTGGAGAAGTCCTAAACAAAACAAAAGAGAAATTTATGGACAACGCCATCTACCTACAACATAATGTAAAATTGATACTGCTCTCTAGATCATACATTATTAAGTTCCTATTAAAAGATTCACGGTTTCATAACACTACCAAACGATTGTAATAATATTACGGCTTTTTTGGCGGTACTACTCAGAGCTACTCTTGTGATTAATCAGAGTCCGAATCTTCAAAAAAGATGATATAGATCGTGCAACAAAACACCGTCTACTGTTATCACATTGATATACATATGTTGATAATATTTCTGCGTACATTTATACGTGAAAACTTCAAAATATTTGTGTTGGCTTCGATCATGCGAACCCTTACTAACTCGTTACTCTTAAGTGCGGTACTATACTAGTAAACTCTCCCGTCTATCCTCAATGTCGCGTCATATTCATATTCATATTACATGTTACTCACTTCTTTATATAGGGTGTTCTCGGGTACGTGTTGACAGGTACGGGGAATGTTTGGAATGTCTCATCTATAGCTCTGGCTAGTGAGCGGGGTAAGGTCGGTCTCGTTACCCCTTGTCCAGTTACCAATTGTCCCGTTACCCCTTGACCCGTTACCCCTTGTCCCGTTGTCCCCGTTCCGGTGACCGTACTATTGTGTACAGCTGTGCCCGAAGTGCTAGTACACCATGAGAGAGGTACCTATGAAGTATGAGCTATATATTGGCATTACGAATTTCGTTTAATATTATTATTGCTTTTTCTTATTACAATTTCATACTTTATTGTGCATTACACAATTTTGGTATAAATACTTTATATGTATATTTTTTTTTAATTAGTATATTACCTCTTCCGTTTCATGTGTTGATATTTGAGAATTCTTTTTCTCCGTCTCATTCTGAGATTCAGTATCTGAAAATGTTGCCAGATCAGAATATCGATTATATAACAATTGTTACCATCTATGAATATTCAAAAATAAAATAGATAATATATTATATTCAGTGAATGAATAATAAATAAAATTTAAATGGATTTTTTGTATATTCGATTATATTTACTTGGTGTGTAATTATAGTCTATGAGCGAATCCTCGGCCGTGCTGTTTGTGCGAGATCTGGCTGTGTCCTGAAAGGAAAATACACAAACAAAATGAACGAATGATTCTAATATTTGACAACAATTTCATTCGTTCTTTGCATGTTGGACATTGGCAGAATACTGAATAGTGACAATGAATTATGAATTGAATGAATCTATGTTTTCGTTCATTCGTTCGTATTTTTATCGACTCACCGATATTATATTCAATGTCCATTGTTGCCTCGGCTTGCCGGCGACTCGCGTCGTTCCCTGCTGAGGTCGAGGTGTCTATAATAATTAATAAGTATATTCAAAATCTTTTATAAAATATGTAGGTAATACTTGTTGACCTGGCAAACGTTGTTTTATCTTATATAAAATAGGGGTCAGTGATAAAAAAAAGCAAAAAATTGAGTTATATAGATTTTTAATGCCTCATTACAAAAAAAAACAAATATTTCGTCCAAAAAAATTAAGTTAGTGTGACAGATTAATCTATCGTTGGTTTTCGGTGTTTTTATCTTTCGTTAGTGTTACAATAATTTTTCATTTCATGATAAGTTTAAATCGAGAAAGTTGAAAATTACTAATTTAAATTTGTTTTAGTTTTGTGTAAATTTATTAAATTAATATACAAATCTTATTAGTTATTTTTGAAATAAGTCAATTCTGATCTTGTTCCTAAAAATACATATATGTATGTACTATGTGTGTATATCTAAGTTAAAAGCATGTTCTGATAATAATTAATTTGATTATTTTCTTTCCTACCTCACTCTCTTTTCCCATTTTCTTCCGCAGCTCGTTATTGAAACTCTCCGCGAATCCGTCGGCCACGAAATATCTGAAACAAAACATTTTTGCGATATAATATTAATTTTATATTTAATAAACTAGTCGTTACTTAACTTTCAACTTTTCAAGAACATAACTAACTGTTTTCCTTTATTAGCCATAATGATACTAGCTATTGCATAAGTCCTGCGACTATTAGGCAATCATAAAAGATTTTTTTTACTAGGTGTGAGTTTTTTTGCTATCAAAACCAGATTTTCTTTATCTGACATTACATACATTACACTCCAAATAGATAAAACAATTCAATCCAAAAAAATATATCCAAAATATTTTAGATTTTTGACTTGTGTCTAAGTTATAAAACAACTGAAATTCTTTTAAGATTTTTGAAGCCATTTTACAAAGACGAGAGAAGAATGGCAAGATGTAACCATTTTTAACTCTAACCACAATTTAAAATATTTTTCCAAACATAAAGTCATAAATAAAATTGCTTATGTATGGATGCTTATCTATGTAATATGGTCTGAAATAAATATGTATGTTTATGAAGTAGAATGTTACTGACTTGTGTCTGAGTAGTGCTGCCGCGGAAGGCCTGGCCCGGGGCTCGGTCCTGAGGCAGGCGGCGAGCAAGTCCCGGGCCCGCGCGGCCCCCGGCAGGCCTGAGGGGCCTCGGGCCGCCGCCGGGAGGCCTGACGACAGGCGGGACACAACCTGCTGGTGACGTGGAGCCAACTTACCTGGACAATAATAACATATTAAGTTCTACTTCTACCTGGCAATTTCCCAGCTTTAGCCAGGGTCTGCCTTACACGTTGTGAATAGATTTTTTTACGACCGGCCCGCCTGCCTGACATCAACCCTTTTTGGGAACGTTATAGTCCTGATTTAATATACATAGTACCTTTTGTTAAACCTTCTAAACCTATATATAAAATCTTTTATGAAGAATCCCTACTAATATTATAAATGCGAAAGTAACTCTGTCTGTCTGTCTGTTACGCTTTCACGCCTAAACCACTGAACTGATTTTAATGAAATTTCGAACAGAGATAGAGTTGATCTTGAGAAAAAATATAGGATAGTTTTTTATCCCAGACTTTTGAAAGGTTCTCTTGGAAACGCGATATAACCGAACTTCACGCGGGCGAAGCTGCCGGCGGAAAGCTAGTATACATATATATTAACTATTTTAACCATAGAAAAAAAAAGCATCAGTGGTGGGGAGTATCGCCTACATTAGCAGCTGCGCACACATTATGAGATACATTTCTTTACGATGAAGAGTTATTAACGAGAGCTCTGCCAGTTTGCACAGTTTATATTCTGTTCTGATATATCCTTAAAATTAAATTTAATTGCGTAATAATTTTGTTCGACAACATTAATTTGTGAGTTTGTTGTGATAGTTTAATTAATGTTGAAGTAGTGTCAAATAATAATAATGTTTATTTATCCCACACACATTACAATTGTATGACATTAACATAACCTGATCACAATGCATAAAGGTGAAACGTATTATATGTAAATAAAATCTACTGTCCCTGAGCTAGGTATAAACCCGTATTTCAGGCGACCGTACTCTCCTAAATATTATGTAGCTGCCTTTTTATCTGCTTTAAACGTTTTATTTCTAAGACTACATATAACATGTCCGTGTTTCATTATCTCTATATATTAATGTCTAACCAACAATCTTGATGATGAGAGCCAGCTGGTCAATGTCCGAGTCTCCCGGGAACAGAGGCTCGCCCGTCAACATCTCAGCGAACAGACAACCCACCGCCCAGATGTCCACCTCCGGACCGTATCTGGAACAAAACAATACGTCATCATCATCAGCCTATCAGAGCCCACTGCTGAGCAAAGGCCTCTTTCTCACATGGAGAAGGTTTGAACATTAATCACCACGCTCGCTCAAGACAACCCGTCTTGGTTGGTGATTTCAAACTTATAATTGTGAAACTATAAGTCCAGGTTTCCTCACGATGTTTTCCTTCACCGTATGTCAGTGGTGTCTAAATACTCTCAGAAAGTACATATGACTCCGAAAAATCACATTGGTACTTGCCAGGTTTGAACCTACACCCTCGGGAACGAGAGGCGGACCCTTTAACCACTAGGCCACCACTGACTATATTAATACAGAAACTAAACTAGAGAGACAAAACCTCTTAGCATTCAATGGATTCACCGTGCGGGTGCAAGGTCTATCATTGCAGGAAGAGGAGTCCAATATAAATATATATCTGGTCTGAAGGCCGACACACAAATATCCTCGGAAATTTCGTATTGTTTCTCATACGTATCGTATCATGATAGTTAGAATGTAATATAAAATGTAATATAAATAACAAGACAAGACAGACATTCACATCTCGTCTTAATGATCACGGTTGCTGAAAAGTGATCGGAACATCGAGAGTATGTAGCTAAAAATAATAAAATACACGTAGTTATCCGCATAATATTATTTTCATTTAAAAAAGAAAGTCTTAGATCTCATTAAATGTAAGTAGTTTACTTATCTCATTAGTTCTAAGCAGTCGTTGATGTTGTTAATTTCTTGTTTAGTTAATATCTACTATTTTATTATATATATTACTAGTAAACCTGGCGAACTCCATTTCGCCTCCAGAAGGCTTTGTTTTATATAACATTTCGTTTGGTGATTTAAAGATGAAGATTTTTTTTTTGTTTTATATTTGAAAAGGAAAATTTTTATTTCATTTCACAACAGTAATGAATTCATTTCGATTACAAAAATAAAGTGTTATTTAATTGAACTTCTCTAAGTAAATGAAAGTGAATCCAAAGTAGATACCGAATCGAAGCGTTATGCGTGTCCGCAAATTATCCGTTTCATTGAAGTGCTCCTTTGTATACCACATTTTTTGTTTTTTGGTCTAACGTTAACACAAATAAAGCGGATGGTTTCCCAACTCGTGAACACACAAACTATAACTGCCCATGTGAAAAACAATGATTTTCTAAATTTATCCCGCAAATACTAAATTGCATATTTGTCATTATACGTCAATTGCATAGCTGTCAATTGTGTTTCGTTATTCCACGTTTTATAGTGACTGACGTTTCATATCAAGTCCCACGGGAATGCTGTTGAACGGGATAAAAAGTATCCTATTGCGATTTCCTGGTTCTAAACTACCTCCCCGCCAATTTTCAGCTAAATCAGTTCAGCCGTTCTTGAGTTATAAGTGGAGTCACTAACACGACTTTCTTTTATATATATAGATATGTAAATATTTATGTATGTATGTATTTAGTATAGTATATATGTATAATTGTATTATATATGTATATTTATTGTTATCTGTGTTTAAAAGTTATTGTACCCTTCCACATTATGATCCTCTACCCAAAGGTTGATTGGAAGAAATCGCTGCTTAGCGATAAGGCCGCCTGTTGCACCTCATGCAAGAATTATATAACGAAAATGTAATGTTTTAGTTTTAGTATGTTATGCAATAAAGAATAAATAAATAGTTTTCGCTTTAAGAACATGTAAGGCCATACTATTTAGTAAATACTATTTACTAAATACTAAAGACTGCTAAATGAACCCCAAGTTACCTATGCTCAGCGACCAGTAATTCTGGAGCCCTGTACCACCTAGTTGCCACGTACTCCGTGTATGGCTCGCCGGGCGCGGCCAGAGCTCTTGCGAATCCCAGGTCACACAACTTCACTATACCATTATTTGACACCAGCACGTTCTCTGGTTTGACGTCACGATGAATTATCTGATGGGAAAATAACAATTATTTAATCAAGAAAGTTATGTCACTTTGACGAGGGAACGAGAATGAAATTTTAGTTATTTATATTTATTTATTTCTTATACTTCATAATGTGCATATGACTATAATTAGCTTGTTGTTATACGTGACTATGTCTGCTTGCATTTAGATGTTCGGTGCAGATAGAAATTAACGTGTTAAAACTATACATATGAAAAGTATCTATGGTCTTTGTCATGTAATTTCAAACACAGAAGTTTTGTTTTGTCAGCATCCAACAGGATTTACAAGGAACTTAAGAACCGACTTCAAAATAAGGAGAAGCTTCTCAAATTTTCTGTATTTTTTATGCCTAGTATCAGTAGACTTCCATTAAAATACATTAATTACTTACACAATCAACAATCATCATCTAAAGCTAGGTTCACACTCGCAAACGAACGAGACACGAGCCGAAGCACAGAACAAAGTTATAAAAACATAACAACTCTCTTTCTCACCGATGTAAGATCAAAACAACCTGACAGGTTGAGCAACTAATTAATTAACACTAATTAATTAACACTATTTAACTGATTTACACTCTCAACATATGCTTCGTAAATCTAGCGTTCAGATCATTATAGACTATTAAAAATAACTTATCGTCCCGGATAGTGCAAATCCGCGTAACTAGCATTGGATAATTCCGCGTATCTACAAAGGAAACATTATCAGAAAAAAAAATTGAGCTGAAATATTTTCTATATTAACGACTTTTAAGGTTTTTTTTTGTATTTCAGCTCAAACTTTCTTTTGATAATCTGCTTCTAATATAGTTAAGCGTATTTGCACTATCACCGACGTTATATTGTTTAATATCAACTGACAGAGTTCTGATGACAATAGTCGATTCCTTTCAACAGCTGGTACAAGTGTTTCCTGGCAGTATCCTCGCCAAGGCCGCTGGGAGCTGCTTCCAGCTCATCCAAGAGTGTGTGGTCAAGGTATTCAAACACTAGGTAGAAGCGACGCTTACGACGGAATACTTCGATCATATTCACCAAGTGATCGTGGTGAAGTTTCTAGAATAACAATAAAATTAATAGAACATGGTCTCATAACTCATTGTATCTATAAAAGAACATTATTATTATTATTACATAATATCACGAAAATATGATACTTGCTGTAGAATCGTAGCGATAAAAATGATAAAGTATTAAATGTATTACATAATGTACATACATAGTAAATAACCAAGTATCGAAAAGACTATTGAACTAAACAAAGGTAAAACAAGAAATCAAGAGAACTTAGGAACTATATACGACAGACATTTCCAGAAGCAATTTCTTCTTAATCTTCTACTGAAACTATTAATTATTGTTATATGTATATATAACCTTCAACATCCTTATTTCTCTGAGAGCCATCTTCCTAACGGCGGCGTCATCTTCAGTCTCCAAGAACTTCTTGATGGCTACCAACTGACCAGTGTCCCGGCGGCGACATTTCAAGACCACGCCGTACGAACCCTCACCTACCTTTAATGAACAAGAATAGTACAGAAAATATACGCAAATATGAAAGAAAACAAAAAAAAAATACTTTAAAATGTTGCTTATGGAATTTATGTAAGATTTTCTTCAAAACTAAGGTTTGAATTATATTTTTTTATGAAATACATGAGTATATAGTATTAATATATATTATGTAATGTAAAAAAAATCATTTAATCTCAGTGTAGTCGATATATCGACGGTTCCTACGTAAATAAGGTAAAGCCAAAAGTCAAAACCTGTGGTTTACAGGAGAGCGTAATTTATATTCAACAAGCCGTAAAAATTATTCTACGACCAATAATAAATATATTCTTTTTGCAATATTTTAAGAACTTTATTATTCAATTTAAACATAATTTACTTCTGTAATTTTTCTTGGATAAACTGATAGATAAGCGTTTCTACGCCGATACTAAAATAGAAGCATGGAACTTGTAAGTCATGTCAATATCCTTTTTATACGAAGGAAACAAAAAATCTGTGTGAGATATAGAATTTAAATAAAATGTCTAGTGAAAGTGTATTATACTACTATTTTTAATCCAATACGTTCAATATTCTAAAATTTTCTACCATTACAAAATCATTTAATCTTCGGGGTACATTAAGTCACGGTAATAAAGTCACGCGTTCCTAGAACAACAACGCTGCAAGCCTGCAACATAAATTAAACATCTGACTCACCTGTCAGCGGTATACAATGTGGTTGGTTTGTTAAACATAATATACATATTAAGAATAACACAATTAAATAAATGCCACCAATTTATTATATAACATTGTTATATTTATGAGTAATCTTCTATATATATAAAAATGGATTGCTGTTCCTTAGTCTCGCTAAAACTCGAGAACAGCTGAACGGATTTATCTTATCTTAGTCTTGAAATGTTCGTGGAGGTTCAGGGAAGGTTTGAAAGCTGAAAAAAATTGATTCAATTCCGGGAAAACCCTAAAAACAGCCCTTTTCTATTTCCCATACAAACGTTTTCTTTGACATTAGATTTGACAACTAACTAATATGTCAATCATTCTGTTCGATAGAAACAGGACAAACCTGATTATTAATGGCCTCTAAAACGGAATAGAGTTCGCCCGGTCAGCTATACATATATTACTAATGACGAAACTAACGCGGACGAAGTCGCGGGCAAAAACTAGTAATGAAATAAAACATTGAACTGGTGGCACACAATTTACTGCTTCAGCGTAGACTGACAACTGTCACAAACATTATTTATCTACCTGCTATATGAATTTGTTACAAACACTATAAACATATATGTGTAAAAAACTATTTCCGTTTTTGCTTTTGTGTTGTGTTTATAGTACTAGTACGTTCTTTTCAAATTTGGTTACGTAGAGAGAGGAACTAGGGCCTAATGCCTAGGTCAGTGGAGATGAGCGTTTAACGCGTTAGATAGGGGCCCCTTAAACCTACACCTGGGTCACAAGTCCCAGTCACTGTTGAAGCTCCTCTCACTGTAACGATGGACCCGGCACCCGCACCGTGAATAAATTAAATGCTATGATGTTTCGTCTCATTCACTAATTTTCCCATTAAAAATATTGCTTAAATCTCTTGGTATAATTATCATCAGACAAACATGCACTACATTTAAAAGGTAGATAGATTGAGTTATTCTTTGAGAATTGAGAACACCAAATACGTGGTTTAATAGTTAGAAGTTGACGAGTTGAAAAACTACATACTTAATACACCAATACCTCTTATGAACTGAGATTTCCTTCGAAAACTTTCTATATATTTTTGCTATTTAAACCACTTTTTCGCTTCTACAAAATTTGTTATAGTACTAGCTAGAATAGGTAACAAACTTGGCACAGGTACATATTATCTGTATTTATAAGAACTAACAACCAAAAAGGGCGACATATTTACAGACAACAATTTAATTAGCATGAAGAATATTTTGTGTATACAGGGCTACTGGTGAATTACTATCGATACTTGAGGACGTGATATTTGACGATCATACCTATATGACAAAATAAAAATTAATATAACATAAATATTAATAAACTTCTAAGTAAAGTTAACCAAAAGTTATGTAATTAATTACGCATCGTGTGAACACCCTACAGATTAGGTATACAGTCACACTCACACATACGCGTGCGGCGGCGTGGTGTATCAGCACGCCGCCGCACGCGTCCACACTTGGAACACTTGGAACGTGTCAACACTTTATTTATTTATACGGAAATTTTGTCAAAAATTAAGTGCCTATTTTTTTACATAATTCGAATGAGAATCATGTACCGAGTATTCTCCTTAAATATTGATAGTAATTCACCAGTCACCCTGTATATTATATAACTACATAGCTTTCCGCCCGCTGCTTCGCCCGCGTGGAGTTCGGTTATATCGCGTTTCCAAGAGAACCTTTCAAAAGTCTGGGATAAAATCTATCCTATGTTCTTTCTCAAGCTAACTCTATCTCTGTACCAAATTTCATTAAATCAGTTGAGTGGTTTAGGCGTGAAAGCGCAACAGACAGACAGAGTTACTTTCGCATTTATAATATTAGTAGGGATGTCATATTAAATCTACTTACAACAGCCAACTGTTCATATTTATCCATGGCTCTGCTCCTAGGAGTGGAAGGCGAGAGGCTGCGACGATTCATCTCCACGACCCTCGAGACTAAACATCTTTGTACGGAGTGATGATCACCAACTGCAAATATCTATTTAATGTATAAGACACTCTTAGATTTATACAATAGAGAGCAATTCTTACAAAGAAATGATTCAAAATATAACTTCTTTAAATCTGACATATTTATTTATTTATTTTTAAAATATATTAATGCAATGTAGCCTGATATTATATATATTATTTGCATTTAGATACAGACTTGGAGAATCATTTTTATCTAATGGTAATTATGTTTTAAATTTGTATTATACAAATGCGTGTCATGTATTAAATTAAAAAATCTAATATAATACTTATAAATATAAATATTTATAAATGAAAAACTACTAACGCTCTTTACTTAGAAGGTATAAAAATGGAAGAAGTTGCCTACACAATAATAAAATAATAATAATTGGAAACCTAGCTTTAAAATTAATATATACAGAAAAAGATTTATCAAATTCATTATTATAATTAATAATTATTTTATAGCTTTGTATTATATATGGCGAAATAAATAATACATAAACTTGTAAAGATAATGGGTAAAATGACACACTTTAATTTAAAACAGACGCCATTTTAATTTGTACATCTTCTATATATATATATAAAAATGGATTGCTGTTCCTTAGTCTCGCTAAAACTCGAGAACGGCTGAACCGATTTGGCTAATTTTAGTCTTGAAATACTTCTGGAAGTCCAGGGAAGGTTTAAAAGGTGAGAAAAATTGGAATAATTGCCGGGAAACCCCTAAAAACAGCCCTTTTCTATTTCCCATACAAACGTTTTTTTTGACATTAGATTTGACAACTAACTAATATATCAATCATTCTGTTTGATTGAAACAGGCAAAACCTGATTATTTATGGCCTTTAAGACGGAATAGAGTTCTCCTGGTCAGCTATACCTACATATATTACTCTTGACCAAACTAACGCGGACGAAGTCGCGGGCAAAAACTAGTATTTAATAATTATTAAATTACTTCTTTCTTTTCAAAAACGATATTATTTTATTACAATATATTAATCTAATTTATATTATTATGATTTTGATACTATTAAAACTAGTTTAACATTTTATTTATTCATAATGGTCCGTTCTACTAATTCTGTTTCATGGAAGTTTAAATTGTCTCAGTCTTACTTCGTTTAGGTACATCGTAATATAAATTAATTTGTATTTCGTCGTGGGAAATGAAATGTGTAGCTTTAATATTGTAAAGCCAAATGTGGTATAGATTTTTATTTTATTATGTTTATGTATGTTATAATAACTAGCTGACCCGGCAAACGTTGTAATGCCATATAAAAAATAGGGGTCGGTGATAAAAAAGTAAAAATTTTGGGTTTTATGTTGTTCAATGCTACATTATAAAAAATAGAAACAAAAAAATTCGTTCGAAAAAAAAGTAAAATTATAGGATGAACAACCCTTATGACTTAGGAGTATAAAAAATGGATATTGGCCTATTCTCAGACCTACTCAATATGAAACAAAATTTTATCAAAATCAATCCAGCCGTTTCGGCGGAGTTCTCTGTCTAACACCGCGACACGAGAATTTTATAAATAACATATATAAAAAAGAAAGTTGTGTTACAAGTTATCATACATTTCAATACTTGTATTTACAAGGTGAAACATTTAACAAATAACGCAAGGGTTTGTTCAAATAACAGCAACCTTGTAAGTTCAATGTTGAATTCAATATCAGTGACTAATAATGGAACGTTTAATATTAAAAACTAATGTTGACAGACGGAATAAATAAATTATGATACTACAAACAATTATTCATCGACTTTCCTCTCAAATATTATATTTATTAAGTATTTAAGGTTATAAAATAACTTGTCAAAATAATAAACTCATCCAAAGAAAACAAATTCCGTATTAATAATTCAATCGTTTATTAAAAAATACAAAAAAAAATTAAAATAATATCGTCTGCCCGTGATCACGGTTGCTGTAAAGTAGCCGAAACGTCGGGAGTACATAATATGTAGTTTATAGTCAAAAATAAAGCAAGCGTAGCATCCGAAAATATTACTTTCATTTAATATCGTGTTCTCATACTATAAAAAATATTGTTATCTTCAAATAGACGAGTAAATAAAAAATAATAATAAAAATATGACATTGAACATACGTTTGATCTAAACTTGACATATGTCATTGAAAACTAACTGTCGTGCTCGTAATGAGCCAGGCCAATGTCAGAAACTTAATGACTCTATAGTTACAATCTATATAAATCATCCTTCATTATAATAATACTTTATTTATACTAAAAAAGATTTGTTTTATACTTTCAAATTATATTAAAAAAAAAGTTTTTATAATTACTTCTGTAAGTAGGCTGAATGAGTTTCGATTATTTGCGTTTTGGTGATGAATATCATTAAGAACAAAATGGTTTGCAATAAAATATTATATTACTATCTTTCAGCCCTCAGCTTCGCCCGCGTGGAGTTCGGTTATATCGCGTTTCTAGAGAACCTTTCAAAAGTCTGGGATAAAAACTATCCTATATTCTTTCTCAAGGTCAACTCTATATCTGTACCAAATTTCATTAAAATCAGTTCAGTGGTTTAGGCGTGAAAGCGTAACAGACAGACAGAGTTACTTTCGCATTTATAATATTAGTAGGGATTATTTTTTAATTTCAGTTATGGCTTCATTTACACTAAAATCTTTGAATTTTTAGGACAAAGTCAACGTTTTTATTTATTGAACAAATTATAATCTTGACTTTGGAGAAAACACGAAAGATATTAATATCTGTCATAAATAATCAAACATGGCGTGCGTCCTGTCATCTGAGGCGGAATAAAAGTTCTGAAACAGGTAATGCTCCAATAAAGTGGTACGTTTAGAAATCGTCTGCGGAATATTCAAAAATATTTTTTTTTTCAAACAGCTTTTGCTTAAATACGTAAATATATTAATTTACGACGATCTAAAGTATCACGCGGGATGACATTAGTCCTGTTTGCATAAAATCATACCGCCAATATTATTTTTTATATCTTTCTCGTAAAACATAACATACTAAGCAACAAAAATATCAATAATATTTTTACGATTCGAAAAGAAAAATTAATATTCAAAATTAAATTAATACATGTGAAATTAAACTCACATAACTAATAATTAAATAAAATACTCAAACAAACACACAAAACGAGTATATATAAATTATCTAAAGTCATAATTATTAGTTTTATGTCTTAAAACAATCAAAAAACCATTTATATAATAATAATCTTTATTTTTAAGTCAGTTACACACAGTCGCGTGTACATCACTGTAAGTCACAAAAACTCAGTGCAATCAATAAATATATTAACCGGTCATATTTAGCATCGGGTATCATTCCCTTTGCTTTTATGATTATGTACATTCAAAAATCAACCTTATTTTCATATACTTAAGAGACATGTCTATTTTGTTCAGTGAAGATATATTTCAAGCCACATTTAAAAAGCAACCTTATTTATATATAATTAAGAGACATGTCTATTTTGTTCATTGAAGATCTATTTTAATCCACATTTAAAAATCAGCCTTATATTCATATAATTAATATTCATGTTTATTTTATTGCAATCTATTTTTTATGCACTAGCTATATCACGTTACTTTGCTCGCACGAATGTTCATTATTAGTGAAATACAATAAAAATATTCTTACAAAGTAACCTATAGGAAATTAGTTTTGATGGCTTTCTTAATTTTATTAAGCACAAAATAGTTTTAGATATTTGAATAATGATTTTATACGGATTTTGCATTAGTTAACATTCTCTTTTTTTTCATAATAATATTATTATTTATTACCATACAGTTAATGATATTTACATTTTAAACTAAGATATTCTCATATTATTTGCATACTCTTAATTTTACGGAACACAGATAGAAGATAAAATTGTTTTAATTTAAAAACGAAAAAAATCATATATTCATATTGGAGAAACCGTATAGAACTATATTTGAAGTGATTATTAAAATTAATGACTATATAAAAGCTTATAAAAAAAATAACAATTGAAATATTATATTCTGTGAGAAGATTCTTGAATATCTTATAAAAAGAATTAATGCAAGAAAATATATTAAAAATCTATATTCATATATAATAAATATATATATATATATCAAAAAAAGCAATAAATTTTATTATATAAATAAAAAAAAACTTACTCCTTGCATTTTATATTTTGTCTTTTAAACACAATTTTTTAAATGAACGAATTTTTTAAACTCGTATTTCGTAGCGGTGCTACGTCGTAGCGGCGGGCTGCTACGGAGGCTCCGTCAGCTACACTGACGTAGCTCCATACAGCGAGCCTTAAAATACATTCATTTTAATATTACATTTAATTACATATTTATCTAGATACATATTTTCAAAAATATATTTTCATAAAAATTTTTTTTTATCTTAAATGAGATTATACATTTTTTAATTTTTTTTTATTATTAACATAATATACAATTTCCGATAAAACACTTGTTCGTATCCGACTTTAATAAAAGACAGTAATGTATTTAATATACATACAATTTAAAGTGTAGATATTTTAGTTAAATTAAATATAATTTCATAATCTTGAAATGAACTAAATTCATTCAAAAAAAATATGAAACAAAATAGTACTCAAGATAAGTTTTTTTTTAATGAATTTCTATTTTTTTTACCTTATTTTACTTTCTCGAATATTACGACCAGAAATGAATGAATAAGATATTATTATACTATTTGATTTCAAAAATATTTTGTTATTTAGTCAAACTAGCTTCTTTTCTACTTTCATACTAATAACTCACTACTTATGGCAGATACAATTATGAATTGTATAATTATTGTAAAATTTGCATGAAACCGATATTATTTTGAAATGAATGGTCACTCAGGTATCCATACATTTTTTATACCCAAGTTGTCTAAACTTTGTTAAAAAATAAATTTTGATAC